ATGTGGATTGCATCCTGTTTGCTGGCTCTGAGCTCCACCTGCCGTTCTCTTCCCTCTGTGGGATTGTTCCTGACAGCTCTGCCTGGACTTTGCCACCAAGAGGAACAGACAATCCAGGTGTTATCTATGTCAACATTGCACCTCTTTTCCAGGGAGACTGAGTCTGTCACTCACCCGTTCCCTCTTGGGAGTGCCCTATCACCTCATGCTAGTATAAGAATTGTACATCCCTCCTGATCCCTTTTTAGCCTCTCCTATCATCAACCTCTGTCCATATAAAGGCTGTTCCCTGTGTCACATGACAGCTTAGCTTTTTAGTAATTTTCTTGAGCACATTTTTAGTAGAATCACAGTATCTCAGACTGGTTTGGCCTTAAAGATCATCCAGTTCCATGGGCAGGGACCCCTTCCACTACTCCAGGTTGCTCCAAGCCCCATCCAACCTGTCCTGGAAGGAACACTCCCAGGGATGGGGCAGCCATGGCTTCTCTGGGCAACCTGTGTCAGTGCCTTAGCACCCTCACAGTCAAAAATCTCTTCCCAATATCCCATCTGTCCCTGCCCTGTGACAGTGGGAAGCCATGCCCTGTGTCCTGTCCCTCCAGTTCCAAATGAAGAGTTCCCCTCCAGCTTCCTTGCTTCTGGAGTAAGTTTAGATCAGAGGCCAGGCTGGATGGGGCTTAGAGAAACCTGGAAGTGGAAGGTGTCCCTGCCCATGGCAGGGGGTGGAACACTGGATAATCCTTAAGGTTCTTCTGACCCCAACCATCCTGGGATTCTATGACTGTGGAGGTGGATCATTGCCGACCAAACAGGGTTGGGCAAGAACTCTGTGGTGGGGCAGAAGGGACTGGGAAATTCCTTCTTTGTGGAATATCTGTGCTTCATGGGCTTGAGCTCATGAGCTTGCCTTGACTAGATGCAACAGGAGGATCAGACTGTGCAGTTGTGTCTTCCTTTCTAGATTTGGATATTTTCTATTTTTATCACAAATCCCAAACTTTTGTGTTTCATGCCTCTTCACGTGCAACATCCTCTCACCTCATCCACACCAACAAGTTGTTCTCTGGCTCTGTTGAGAGTATTTTAAGGAGGAAGAAAAGACATTGGGTAGAAACTATGTACAATGAATGACCCTTCCAAGGCAGGATTTTAGCTGAGGCTCCTCTCTTGTGGCAAAAAGGTTTAAAAAAAAAGGTCCCGAAAACAGGTTTGGAAACTGATTTGGGATGTCATCCCCTGTTTTGGGAGCAGAGAACTTTATCTGGGATGTAGAGATCATTGAAGACCTTTGAATCTCTGTTCTTGCTGCAGAAACATTTCAGGATGTAATTAATAATCTGTAAAATGAGTGAAATGCCATGTGTAAAATGGTGTGTTTTTTTCTGAGATAGCTTGTGGATTTTTAAGCTCAAACCATAAATGAATATTGTAGAGGAGGGAAAACAGGCAAAAAGGTGAGAATGAAATGAGTGTTCATGTTTTATGCATCGTAATCTGGTTAAAAATCTAATTTCAGACTTTCAGTGCTGTTTTGGCCATAGAGCTGGAATGAAATTGAATTTATTGAGGAGTTTCTATTGGAAAATGTGCAAAGTGACCCTTGTGTGAAGAACAATCCACTGAGGATTCCAGGCTGCTCCTGAGCCTAGTCCCTGACAGAACCATGTTGGGATTACCCCTTCCAGACACTAACCTCCACAGGGTCAGTGCATGGCTGTGGTTTTCCCATGGGAAATGTTCTGTTCCCCATGACCTCCATGTCCTTTCCCAGCACAAAGCACATTATTCTCCCCATGGGAATGTGATGGGGGAACAGGACCTTGGTGTCAGAGCTCATTGTGCTGTGAAGGGGGTTTGGCCTGAGTGCAGTTCTTGTTTTCCCACCTCTGAAGTCCTCACAGGAAGGCCTTATCCCTGTAGGAGAATCCACACTTGCTGAGGGGAGGGAGAACTGGCTTCCTGAGGTCTGTGCCTCTCTGCCTTCCTCTTCTCCCTCATGTTCATGTTGGGATTTGGGAGCTCTCATAGCAGCTGCCACCAGTCAGTGGTAACTTCGAGCAGCTTGAGGCTGTGAACTACCTCTAAGGCCCAGCTAAGGACAGGAAAATACAGGATGTGTTCCTGCTGTTTGGGTGATCCAACATCTGGCTGTTTCCATGGAAACTCTCTGATTTCCCTTGTTTTTGGGAGGCAGCACCAGGAGGTGGAATTACTGCATGCACTCACCTGGCCCTCAGGTGTGTGTGTATGGGATTGAGCTGCTCCCAGGGCAACAACAGAGCCACCAGTGACCTGCATAAATCCTGATTTTTACTGAACTTCCTCCTTTCCCATTCATTCCTGTTCAAACACAACAAAGCTTCTCAAATCCCATGTGTGCTCCAGGGCTGCTGTGGGGCTGAGCTGTTCCCCACCTGCAGAACAGGTGTGTGGGAGAGGCAGGTTTTGCCTTGGATGTCTTGGATCCCTGTGGGGTGCTGCTGGTAGGGTCATAAGGGCCATGTTGGGTCTGTTCCTGCTTTACCAAGTTTGGTGCTGTAGATGGAAAATGCTGGGTTAAAATTGCCATTGGGAGTCTAGTTATAGGGAACATGATGGGAGGAAATTACTACGTTTCGAGTGCAAGAAACAGTACTACAGAACAGTGATTTATTTGGGTTTTTTCCTTGGTTTTTTCCTTCCTCCACTCTTCACTAGCTGAGTCATGAGTTTTTATTACACCTAGGCCTGATTTCAGAACATTTTGTGGAAAACTGAGGAGTTCAGTGTATTTGGAAACCAGGTGATTGTGTGTTATAAAGAGAAAAGATTTCCACATTTGTTGCTTTCCCTCTTAGCTCAGGGTGGGCTCAGTACTGTCCGAGCTGCTGCTCCCACTCAGTGGTACAGGGACACTCCTGGGAAGGCTGGGAAAGGCTTTCAGGCTGAAATGTAAGGAATTTGGAACATGTAACTGTTGTGGAGTGAGAGAAAAGCTTTTGTTCTGGGAGAAGTCTCAAGTGAGTTGATTTCCCCCCTCCCTCCCCACATTTATTCCTTCTGCTGCTCTGTCTTGTTTCTAAGAATGTGCAAGCAGAGGCAGTAAAAACAGAAACAGGAGGAGTTTTCCAAGAAAATACTG